TTTTATTAGGCCACCTGACAAAGGCCACTATGGTGGCCAAAACGTTCTCTTCTATGCACTGATAGCTAATAAAAAGGATTGCTGACTACTCAGCTGTGTAGGACCATCATTTTTATTTTTTATCTGACTACTTACCTGGACTGTGGACACAGTGTTATTGAATCATGCTCGTCACTGCTCTCTTGTTTTTGGCTAATCAGCAGAAGAGAGGCAAAATCAGTAGCAGAAACCGTGATGAAAAAGAGGGTAAGAGCACAGTAGAGAGAGGCATAGAGTCAGGTTATTCAAGGGCTGAGCTGACCAGAGGTAAATAAGAATAAGTGTAAGAGACCTCCAGACTGGACCATAGAGACCAGGTAAAATCCGGGCTTTTAGAGAGCCCAACAAAAATGTAGATGTTCAGGAGGAAGTTTACTGCTCAAAACAGCTGGTTCACATTATGAAAAGATAGGTGTGTTTAACAAACTGGCACAGACATCAAACTCCATCTACTGTCATGAGATTAGGAATAAATGCTAGTGTGATCACGGGTCTCCACAGCTAATGAAATGCTTAGCGTGTAATTGACTTAATTTGATCGGTTTCCCCAGTAGTATTTAAATATGAATCCAAAGTGTATGTCCATCCGTGGCTGTAGAATTTGTCAGACTGTGTTTTCACATACGCCACATTTGCAATGTAAATGTAATGTGTTATAATTGTAACATTTAAATAGTTTTAAAATGCCTTATTAACCATTGTTCAGTGAAATAAAATGTGCTCTAATAAAGTGGAACTCATTGTTGAGAATAAAGTGTTTGACGAAATTTGTTTTGATAATTCAGCCATTTTTACATGCATTACTTTTAATATTAAAGCAATGATAATTTACAAATCGAGACATTGTTAGACTTTATCTTTCTGGCACGATTTAAAATTTCGATCAAGCCACACTACTTTTTTAAATGATTAGTTTGTAATAATGTGTTAAAATATTTAAATATTGCCCAACATTTATAATTCCTATTCAATTTAATAAGCAATGAAATAATTTTAGTTGTGTAGTGGTTTTGCTGTAGTATGTTTTCTGTATTTAGGTAAGTAGAATGATTCTACCCTAATGGTGTTTTACTATGGTACCCGACTGATTACTCACAAAAATGATGCCTTGTTTCCAATCCCTCAAAATGGCTTGAAGTTCCATTTCATGCAAGTGCCATCAATCTTGTTATTTAAAATAGGAAAAAAAAAGATAAAACATTTGTGTTTTGATGAAAAAAATAAACATTTTAAGGTTGGGATATTCACATGGTTTTATAAGTATAAAATGACAGGAAAAAAGTCTAAAATCTGGGTTTGACTGCCTTTATTATTATTATTATTATTATTATTATTATATTTATAGAGCGTCGTCAAATTCCGCAGCGCTTTACAATGGGTGGACGAACAGACATGTAGTTGTAACCAGACAAGTTGGACACACAGGAACAGAGGGGTTGAGGGCCCTGCTCAATGAGCTTACATGCTAGAGGGAGTGGGGTAAAATGACACAAAAAGGAAAGGATAGTATTAGACTAATGACAGTTGCAGAAGAGGAATCAGTCAGGAGCTATTAACAGTTTAATTGATACGCTTTTATGAAGAAGTGGGTTTTTAACGATTTTTTTAAGGGGTGGAGACTGGGTGAGCATCTAACGGAGGAGGGAATCGAGTTCCACAGGAACGGTGCAGCCCTCGAGAAATCTTGAAGGCGAGCATCAGAGGTGGGAGTACGGACAGAAGATAGACGTAAGTCTTCAGCAGATCGTAAGGGCCTAGACAGGACATACTTGTGTATAAGGGAGGATAGATAGGTGGGAGCAGCATTATGTAGAGATTTGAAAGCAAGAACCAGAATTTTAATTTGAGCTCTATATTTTATAGGAAACCAATGTAGGGATTGACAGAAGGGTGAGGCATGGGAGGTGCGGGTGGACAGGAAGATGAGCCTCGCCGCCGCATTCATTATGGACTGTAACGGCGCTAGTTGGGAGCATGTAAGACCACTGAGAAGCGGATTACAGTAGTCAAGGCGAGAAAGGACAGTGGAATGGACCAACACCTTAGTCGCATCTGGCGTTAAGTAGGGGCGGATGCGCGCAATGTTTTTGAGATGGAAATGACAGGATTTGGCGATAGATTGAACATGAGGCTTGAAGGAGAGGTCGGAGTCAAAGAGAACACCTAGGCAGCGAGCCTGTGTGGTGGAGCTGATGGTAGCACCGTTGACTTGGAGGGAGACAGACACAGAAGTAACAACACTTGAGGGAGGAAAGACCAGAATTTCAGTTTTGGTCAAATTTAGTTTAAGGAAGTGGGCAGCCATCCAGTTGGAAACAACAGAGAGGCAGTCAGAGACACTAGTCAAGAGGGACGGGGAGAGATCAGGAGAGGACAGGTAGATTTGCGTGTCATCTGCATAGAAATAATATTGGAAGCCAAAGGAGCTAATGAGTTTACCAAGGGAGGCAGTATAGATGGAGAACAGTAGGGGACCAAGCACTGAACCTTGGGGGGTTGTAGAAGTTGCTGTTAGTGGGCTTTAGGGTCTGAAGTTCTGGAGTTCACTATAGTTGGTGAAAGAACCATGAGTATATTAGTGGGTTTTTTTGTGTGTTTTTTTACCATTTAGCTTATTCTCAAAGCAGCTGCCTATTACAAAAATAAACATCATTAATTTGTATAAGGCTCCATCAATCTACATAAGATGGTAGGTGGTGCCCCTGAGTTGACAGTCGGGAGGTGGTGCTGACGAAAATAGGTTTGCTGAACATTTCTCTATTACTTAGGTAGTGTGGCGAGATTGCTTTCAAAAGTTGGCTGTGCAACATGTGCTTGTTTCTTTCTTTGAAATTCCAGAGAGCATCAGCAGGATTGATTCCAGTGGAAGCTCATCCTTAGGGGCACAAGTTTATATGTGGGGAAATAAACTATTTGCAGTAGGTTTGAAACTTGAAGATTTTTTTTTCTGGAAGGGATGGTGATAAGCCAAAGAATATGGGAAAAATAGTGTTTCCTTAATCATGTGATAGGTTTCAGCTCTGCAGGGCCCCTCATTGGTAGCGGTTTTGAGAAGCTTGCTTGAGAGCATTTAGGCATGTAAAAATTGGACTGGTTTGGAATCTGCCCTGTTTTGGCAGGGTTTGCAAATGCATAGTGTCCTTTAAGAAGGAATTTATGGAATTTACAGTGAGATGCCATTTGTCATTGTATGGTAGTGGAAGTGGGATCTTTGTTATTGTGGATTTGAGGTCCCCATTTAATGGCACCTTAACTGGTCACTGATTTTGATATTGATATATATATTGGAATATAATGCATTATAACACAATGTAATGCATTATACGGTCTTGTGTTACAGTTTTGTGTATTTTAATTTATCCACTGGATATGTATAAATTTTTTTATATACAGCAAACTATTGTTTTACTGCATTTCAGTTCTATAAATAGCTTTTTTAATTACCAACAGTTAATGGAGCAGGTTTTCCAATTAATTTACTGTAATGATAGTCTGAACATGTTTTTTCTAATTAAAAGTAGAACATTTGCAATCTCTTCAACATTGTCTCTAAATACATTGTCCAACATTGTACCTATATGAAACAATGCTTTGCAACACACACTTAATATTTTTTAGTATGAAAATTTTTATTATACATTTTTGTACAAAACACGTAGACAGAGACAGACATACAATGACATATGATCATACTTAATTAAATATGTATAGAAGTCAGAGGTTATTAGAACTGGTCATTATGCATGCAGTCAAATATAGTCACACTTATCATACATCCTAGATGTAGAAGTTATGCAAGGGGAGGTAGAGAGGGATATGAGAGAGAAGGAAGTTTCTCTAAACAACATTTCTTCTCCTCTCCACTCTCCACTCACTCTGCTGAAAAATATGTAGATAAATAAGTAGAAGAAAAAATAGGTTGGTGGGGAAGTAGTATCAGATCTTATAACATATTTCTGAGAGATGTTTAGATCGATATAATACCCAGGGGTTCCATAGTTTTTCATATATCTTTACATTATTTATTTTCTTAAAGGCAAATTTTTTCCATAGTTAGTTGGTAATTAATCTGTGCATTGATTTTCCCCCATCCTGATACTGAGTCCAATCTCCAGTATCGTGGCAGACATATTTTGGCGGCCATCTTAAAATGAATCATTAAAATCTTTTTGGATTTGGAATTTGTTGGTAAATTGAGGTGAAAAAGAAAGAGTTGGGCCTCCACTGAAACCTGTATATTCAGAACTTCTTTCATAATTCTGGTTATTATATGGCACACACTTAATATTTTTATTGTGAAGACTTTTAAGCTAAACAGCCTTCAACACCAGAGTTACAATAAAAATGGAGAGTAAAGTTAAAGCGGGAGGACAGAATCACGTGTTATAGTCTACCAATTGCTTTTATACTCTGTGTTTTCTGTTCTTCTGATAATAAAGTGGTTAGAAGACAATGTGGAGTTGGAATTGATGATAAAAAGGCAATAATGGTTAATTATACATTTCCAATCATAGTTGTGATAACTCACCTAATTACCTCCAATTAGCTAATTCATTACAGCTATAATGACTCCAGTAATTTTAGATATTTTTTTTTTTTTAGATTTTACTTTTCTGCAGAAGTTATTTTCCATCACTGCAAAATTTGTATTTTATTATTTTGTCTTGAAGAATTGCAGAAATACCCAATAAAACAAGACAAACTCTGCAAAAAGAGTGTAGGAGATTAGTCCCATCACCAGATACACATTTCCTATCTAGACTATTGCTAGACGTTGTTTCAGTAGGTCACAGATGATATAACTCTAAAAATTCAGCAATACATGACTCACTCCATATACATTTACAAGAGGAATCTGTGCGAATATTTTAAAAATAATGATGTGATGTACACTTACACATTATTCTATATTGTTTTCTGACTCATTTAGGGAACACAGTTTACCTAACAGTCTGCAGGTGCTTGGCCTCGCTGACAGGCTTAATTATGCAAAATCTGACATTTTAAAAGATTAAGAAAACACATTCACTTTATAATTAAGGAGCAATGTTTAATCTATGTAAATTCTTTACATCCCACATTGGTTGCTTATCCCATTAGCAAAGAAAAAGAAAAAAACACAGCTGCGGAATATCAGAACAGAAACAGTCTACAGAGTCCTGATCAACTACTATCTCGACACCAACCCTAGTTCCTATAGTTTGGATGAGATCTAAAACATATTCACATTACAGTTAAGGTTTTCACCCTCCCCCCCAGACTTTTCAACAAGGACTGTTTTTTATAAATTGCATATTTTGGACTTGATTTTACTAAATAACAAGTTTATTTTTGCTTCCTCACATCAAACTAACCTGCTCACTGCTTTGCTCATAATAAAATTTAGAAGAAGACGCTTTTTAGAAGGAGGCGCTCTATGTATGATTGCCAATTAATCTTACTAGCTATCACTCTGCTTATTTTTCTGTGCGCTTTATCCTATAACATTTAGGGAATATTTTTCCAGTTTTTTTCTGTTTTTTTATTAATTTATTTTTAAAAATGTTTAATACCGCAAAGGAGAATTTTCCTAGAAGCAAAGAATATACTTTTGTAACCTGACAGGGAACATAACATTGTGTAATACAGCTATGAATTTAGAACCTTATTGTAACTTGATTCAGTCTTACTGGTTATTCTGCAAGCTAATTATGCTGCATATAATGTACATTGCATTAGGAGGTAAATTGTGGTTCCAGATTGTTGTCCTTTTATATAGGTATATATCCCTTTTAGATTCACTTCTTGTCACACTAGTGGTGGCACTTGCAAACATTTGGATTGTCATTATCGTTCTATGTTTAGATGTATATTTTTGTAGTGCATAGGGATTTTTTTGTATGTCTTTTGTAGTGCATAACTATTGCACTTTATTTGTTTTGCATGGGAATGTTTCCACTGAACTGTTTCTTTCTAAGTGTTGTAGAACCGAACACAGGCGATCATGGAAGTCCAGCAGTGTTCGGGAGTTTCAGTGTCTGAAAACAGTCCGTGAACTCAACGATCAAACACCGCTGCCTGTGTTCTTGCGAACAAGATGGCTGCCACCTTGTGGACATCCATAGGAAATGCGTCCACCCAGACGAACACTTAGGACACTGCACGCAGGCTCCTCCAGGAGCTCGTGGCAAACGCAATTAGAAAGGGGAGTTTGTCACAGCCTCAATTTAATATTTTTGGAGAAGCTTTTCAAATGATGACAGTCTATTAGAAAATCTTCTAAATGTTTTTTTTTAACAGAAGTCACAATTAAGGTCTATGGGAATGTTTGTACTTAAAGGGACATCCCAATGTCCAAATACAAAATAAATAAAAAAATACTGTTTATTGGAATACCCCAAATGAAAAATTGCATGTGTTTAATTATGTATTTTTAATTGGAAATGTCTAAAGACAGCTTGAAAAAAAAAATGACAGTCCTCTTGTCTGCTGCCTTTCCAAGCCCTCCTCTTTTATCCCCACCTAGACTTTCTGTGACTGTCTAATCACAGACTTCCTAATGCAGTTCAATGAGCTATCTCTGCAAGGCATTACTCTGAGCAAATGCTGCCTCTTGAGTTCAATGCAAATAAGCCAACAAACCTGGAAGTAACCAGTTGTCTGCTTGAAAAGTAAGGATGGTATAACCATGTTAATGTATAGAAGTGTAAATTTATATTGAAATCCACACTTTTTCCAAAATTAAAACAATAGGACACACTCCTAACACATAAAGCTTTTCAGCAAGCTAAAGTGCTTTAGGTGTCTGGAGTATCCCTTAAATCTTTTGACATTTTTTTTTCTAACAGAATGGAATCGTTTTTGACTCTGATTCAAATGAGGCCAGATTGTGATAATTTAAAACTCTTTTCCAAAAATATTAAATCGAGAGAATATTATATTATTGATTGTCAACAATGAACAATTTCACTTAGATAATATTGTAAGAGTAATATTTGTTTCATACGGAAGAAATGTTGTCTGATTAAGCCAGTGATGGCTAACCTTGACACCCTAAATTGTTTCTGGACCGCATTTCCCATGATGCTCAGCTAGCTTTTTGTGTTTAAAAGCTAACTGAGCATCATGGGAAATGTAGTCCAGAAACAATTTAGGGTGTCAATGTTAGCCATCACTGGCTTAAGCTACAGGAAAAAAAAAAGATTAAAAATATGGGTTTTAAGGTATTTCCTTTTTAGGGTAATGCTGATAAAAGAATGTGACCTTGTGAGATTCATGGATAAAACACCAACCTTTAATAAGCTAACACAATAACACTGTATCAACTGCATTTTTAGTTATTTCACTAATTAAATGTGGGAGGCAAACGTAGGTATTCTCTAATTAGTTGGACATTGTCTGCATATTCTGTTATTATTCTCAATAAACATACTCCTCAACAAAGACACAGGGTGCTTGATTTATACAATTATGTACTATACTAAATGTAAAAATAATGGAAATGTTAACTAATTGGTGCGTAGAAGCTACTGGCCAAAAATATAAATAGCAATTCTCAATTTAATTTAGGAAAAGTTGTTTTTTTTTCCCTCCCTCTATCAGGTTCATTGGTTTATTTTCCTCCCTTTCTCCTGTCATATTGCAAATGACTTAAATCCAATTGCCAATAAAGCCTGCAATACAGAATGTAAGCCAATTGCCAATAACACTGCGGATAATTAACTTCTGTAAGTAAGCCAATTGCCGATACAGCCAAGAATAGATTTTTTTTTCCCCTGTCAGTCTTCCTCTTTCTTCATCCGTGCACAGTTTTATTAAGTTGCTCATTTTCCTTCTGCAGTTAGCTGGAAATATTGATAGAGTCTCTTCTACAATGTTGTTTTCTGTTAGAAAAAATACATTCGAAATAGTAAATGTGAAATGTTTGCATATCTGTACTTTGTTTACATCTGACCCACTACCTCTATGCGGGTGACATTTTATTCTTACTGTGTTGCCAAGTTGCTGCTATTTCAATAGTTTTTCATTAACCATGGCAATTAACAGCATTATTTGTATCATTTACAATGAATGTAAAATCAGGTCAAATGTATATATTTTCTTTAAGCCATATAATTTTGAGTTAACCATGAATTGTTAGTTTTTTTTTTGTTTTTTTTTATAAAGTTTTTTTTCTGTTAACACTAACTTTTAGTGGTCATAAAAAGTTATTTAGTAAGTTAATTTGGGAAGCTATTGTTCGGTATTTTGATAAGTTTGATGCTTATCAACCGGATGATGACACAGATACCATCACTTACCAGGTCTGTGGGAAGCAACACCCAGTACTCACAAGCAACTGAGCATTGCAGAAACTTCTAAGCAGAGGTATTATTTTTGGACGGCTGATCTCCCTACACCAAACCACCCCATGGTCATTACTATACTTATAGATAGTGCAGATCAGCTGGTTTTCAAAACACACCAATCGAGTCACTATACCTCTCCTGACCTGAAATCCTTCTGTTAACAAACTGCATCCTTGACCATGGTTTAATCACTCATAGTTATATCTGTCCGTACTCCCACCTCTGATGCTCGCCTTCAAGATTTCTCGAGGGCTGCACCGTTCCTGTGAAACTCGCTTCCCTCTTCAGTTAGATGCTCACCCAGTCTCCACTCCTTCAAAAAATCGTTAAAAACCCACTTCTTCATAAAAGCGTTTCAATTAAACTGTTAATAGCTCCTGATTGATTCATCTTCTGCAACTGTTACTAGTCTAATACTATCCTTACCTTTTTGTGTCATTTTACCCCACTCCCTCTAGCATGTAAGCTCATTGAGCAGGGCCCTCAACCCCTATGTTCCTGTGTGTCCAACTTGTCTGGTTACAACTACATGTCTGTTTGTCCACCCATTGTAAAGCGCTGTGGAATTTGACAGAGCTCTATAAATATCATAATAATAATAATATGTGTATATATAGGCCTATGATTATATATGTGCATATGTATAATCTTCATATCTATATAACAAAACACATTTTCTCTAAATAATGTTCTCCCTTCTATTTTTAACTTTCACATTAACTTCTCTCATTACTAAAATATCCTTCTGCTCACCTGTCCCTGGCAACACCATCTTCATTACTTCCACTTTACTCCCCTCCCCTCTCTATTCATCCCATGTAATCTACATATATCTTTCCAGCCTATCTCCTCCAACTCCTCCCAAATCCTCTATATACATACCCTCCTACAACACCTTAAAATTCTACTCCCACCTTCACTTCCTTTCTATCCTTCTGCTCCAAGCAGCTGGTGAGGTCTCTCCAAACCATGGTCCCATCTCAGCAAACCCACCATGTACTAACTCAAGGAACCACACCAATCTCATACCCATCTCATGTTACTCTTCCTCTAAATCCTCCTTCAATATTGCCTTCTGGAATGCACGCTCTGTTTGCAATATTACAAAATCCACTGCTGTCCATGACCTCTTCGTCTCTCATTCCCTAGATTTACTAGCCTTAACAGAAACATGGCTCTCCCCATCTGACACTGCTACCCCTGCATCTTTATCCTTTGGTGGTCTTCAACTTACCCACAACCCAAGACACTCTGAATATAAAGGTGGTGGTGTAGGATTTCTTCTTTCACCTCACTGCTCCTTAAACTTTCTACCGACCCCCTCTTCCTTCTCTTTCCCATCATTTGAAATTCATTCGATTCACCTTTTCAAAGCCTTCTCTGCTAACATTGCCGTTATTTAACGGCCACCTGGTTCCACTCTCCTCTTCCTTGACCACTTTTCTGCCTGGCTACCCTACTTCCTCTCTTCAAATATTCCATCCCTAATTCTCCAGGACTTCAATATTCCCATTAACCCACCTTTGACTTCACAGTCTCTAAACTACTTTATTACTTCCTCCCTCGGGTTATCACAGTGGGCTAATTCTCCCACCCATGAAGCTGGCAATACCCTCAACCTTATTTTCTCTTATGCATGTACAGTATCTACTATCTGCAACACTCCATTTCCTCTCTCTGATCACCACCTCTTATCATTTGCTCCCAAGTACCCCCTCACCCAACAACCTCAGCCTCACCCCCCTCAACTCAGGAGGAACCTTAATTCTATTGACCTTCAGCAGCTGTCAGCTGATATTGATTCACAACTGCTATGAATCCCTTCCCTCTCCTGTCACTCACTGGCCATCTCCACATATAACACTACCCTCACCTCTGCCATGAACGCTGCAGCCCTGTCCCAAACATGCACCTTGAGGAGGACACGCCCCCAACCGTGGCATGCTAAATCAACATGCTAGAAAAGAGGGAGGAAACCGTGCCTTACATGAACTGTATATACATACACTTGATGTTTCTTAGTTGTTGTAGATAATTTATCCTCAAAAAGAGAACACAAAGAAAAAATATACAATAGTGTAGTATGTTTAACAATATTTAAACAATGGTGATATAGAAAACGGAGGTATTTTGAACTCACATTTGGTAGAGCTATTTTGGAAGCTCTACCGTAATTTGCACGGACGGTACAATCCCCGTCTCAGGATTAGAGGTCCAACGTCTTTGGCACTCCAATGGTATGGTGGTATGGAAAAAATGGAAAAGAAGAAACTCCAATGGTATAGTAGAAAAGAAGAAACTCCAATGGTATAGTAGGACACGCTACCTGCAAAGGTGCTCCCGTTGTGCTGAACACTCCTGGAGGAAGTCTCACACCAAGGCAGACTATCTCCATTATAAATTCATATTGTGTTCATACAGCGCAGTTGTTGCCCTCGCCAAACAGTCATACTTTTCCTCTCTCATTAGTTCATGCTCCCGCAATCCCATGTGTCTCTTTGACAACTTTAACTCTCTTCTTCTCCCTGCTGTGGCCATCCCCCAAACTTATCTTACAGCCGATAGTTTTGCATGCTACTTTACCGACAAGATTGAACAGCTAAGAAAATAATTCTCCCCACCTCGCCATTCTCTTTCTCAACCACATGTAGATCATGCCTGTCCTACCCTTCAGACTTTCTCCCTTCTACTGAACAAGAGGTGGCTGTGATTCTCCTTTCCTCTCGCCCCACCACTTGCCCACTCAATCCTGTCCCATCTTACCTTATCAGATCTCTCCCCCGTCTTGTGCCCTCCTTAACAGACATCTTCAACTGCTCTCTCTCTCTTCTCTCATTGTCCCTGCTGACCTTAAACATGCCACTGTGGTACCTATCCTGAAAAAAACATCTCTTGACCCGTCCTCCCCCTCTAACTATGGTCCCATATCCCTGCTCCCTTTTTTCTCAAAGCCTCTGGAAAGACTTGTCTTTACCCGTATGTCTCATTTCCTCAATTCCAACTCTCTCCTTGACCCTCTTCAATCTGGCCTCCGCCCTCTCCACTCTACTGAGACTGCTCTTATCAAAGTTACTAACAACCTAATCACAGCTAAATCCAAGAGCCACTACTCCATACTAATTCTTCTTGACCTCTCTGCTGCCTTTGACACCGTTGATCAGGCTCTTCAAACTCTTCAAACACTCGGTCTCTGTAAATCTGTTCCCTCGTGGTTTTCCTCTTATCTCTCCCAACGCACATTCAGTGTCTCCTTTTCTAATGATACCTCTTTCATTCATCCTGTCTCGGTTGGTGTCCCCCAAGGCTCTGTCCTTGATCCCCTTCTATTTTCTCTTTATACTGCCTCTCTTATTACCTCATTTGGATTCCACTACCACCTGTACGCTGATGATATTCAGCTATATCTCTCCTCCCCGGACCTCTCCACTGCCATCCTGCAACGTGTTACTGCTTGCCTTTCTTCCATCTCTGACTGGATGTCCTCCCGCTTTCTGAAACTCAATCTCTCTAAAACTGAGCTCCTAATACTGATCCTCCTCTTTCACTCTCACTTCAAGTTAGTGGTATCCACATAAGTCCATGCTTGCAAGCGTGCTGTCTTGGAGTCATACATGATTCTGGCCTCACCTTTGAGCCTCACATCCAGTATGTTGCCAAATCCTGTAGATTCCATCTTAAAAACATAGCCCACATCGGCCCCCTGCTTACACAAGATGCTACCAATGAGCTTGTCCATGCTCTAGTAATTTCCCACATGGATTATTGTAACCCTCTCCCAATTGGTCTTCCCAAAAGCTCCCACCTTATTTGATTGCTATTTCCTGTCCTAATGTGTTTTATCACCACCTCCTATAGACTGTAAGCTCGTTTGAGCAGGGTCCTCTTCAACCTATCATTCCTGTAAGTTTTCTTGTAATTGTCCTATTTATAGTTAAATCCTCCCTCTCATAATATTGTAAAGCACTACGGAATCTGTTGGTGCTCTATAAATGGCAATAATAATAAGCAACAAGAGATGGAATGTAAAAATTAAACAATGTCTCAGATTTCACCCAATAACTTGGTCATGGTATATACACCCATCAGCTACATTAAAATCACCTGACTAATATCATGTAGACCTCCTATGTGCTGCCAAAACAACTCTGATGTGCCGAGTCATGGACTTCACAAGGCCTCTAAACCTTTTATTCCAGCACCGTGCACTGAAAACGCAGTGTTTACAGCAAAAAGCCTACAGGGATAGTAAGCAGACACTAGAACCACTACATTAAGCTGTAGTTGTTCTGGTGACTACAGTGTCTCTTTAAGATATATTTGTAGCACTGTATACAATATTGCAATTAATGGTTCATGCATGATTTATTGAGCTATACCCACTTGAAAGTTTGTAGATGGTAAGTAAATTTTAGAGAAATGGTGTAATTTCCCTTTCTGTAAAGGGACATAAAATGAGAGATGCAGGAACACGACTTACATTTAAGCTGTAAGCTGTAAACACAAGTCATAGTATTTTATTTTTCACCCCAAATAGAAATCAACATACTTACAAGCTATAATGTACATTTATTAAATTGCTTATTAAGGTGTCCGTCGTAATATACCATATTTTTCCATGTATAAGACTGTTTTTCTAAAAATATTTACTCTAAAATTGGGGGTTGTCTTATGTAAGGAATATCACTGCAGGGGTTAAAAAAAAACACTTGTGCGGGGGGCCTAAGTTAAGATGGCATCTGACGCATTTCAGTGTGCCATTGCCCACACACATACCTGGCCTCCCTCCCACCGATCCACTTCTGAATGCTGTGAGAAGGAGGAAGCGGTCCCTATATGTGTGGGAGCTGCAGCAGACATCAGCACTTACCACCAACAGAGCTCCAGAGACATGCCTCACCATAAAAGGAGCAGAAAAATTAAGGTTTGCTCCACCTCTGGTCTTGCTTTCTGATTTATATTTAAGGGTGGAGGAAATGGGGATCAGGGTGCAGAGGGAATACTACTGTGATGTCCCAGCATGTCCTGACACAACCTGTTGTATTGTGAGAGCTGTAGTCTCCCAGCATGCATTGAGCTGTGCTACAGAGAACTGTAGCACAGCTAGGGAAGGCATGAAAATCAGAAGTGTGTTGTTCTCAGAAGTCACCTCTAAAATATCAAAGTTGCTCTATTTGATGTTTAAAATATTGATTTCTTAATTTTGGGCTCAAAAAATTGGGCTCATCTTATACACGGAAAAATATGATATGTTAAATATTTGCTAACACCCTGGGATATATTAACAATTTCCTTTTTGCAGAAAACTGAATGGAAGACATATCTTAATATAGTCAGGTTCTAACCAAAACTTAATTGGAGAATTTCTGCATACAGCTTTTTTTTAGCCCAATTTGGCTAAATTTAAATTTGCTACAAATCGGTGTTTAGTGAATATCCCTGAAATATACAATGTTTCATAAATCATTATATTCAGTTAAACTACTCAGGATAGCATTAGCAGTATTGCTGTAACAGAAAACACAGATTAAGTTTTATCACAGAACAAAATCTAATCTCCAGAGTTAACCTAGGGAATCAGATTCTCCCTAATAGTATAACACTTTGATTTGTACTCTAGAACATGCAACTTTATTTATTTTTTTACCAATAAAATTATTTTTAATATGGTGCCCATACCGAGAACAAATTATTTTATTTCATAAAGTACATAATCTCAAGAGTTATAATATTTTAAATTATTAAAACAAAAAATAAAACAGAGAAAATATGCAATTATTCTATAATAATATTTGATATTGAGCAATATTGGATAGAAGGAATATTCACAGATTGCAACATGTAAACCAACTGAACTATCTTTATCCAAATGTATGTGCAATTATGCTCATCAGAATAAATGGACGGTCTCACTAATGTCATATTTTTTCTGTTTTTTAGATGATGTATTTAATGATGCTCGAGAGCAGTGTATCCTAAACTAGTCCTCAAGACCCACCAACGGTCAGGCTTTGTCAGTATCTCCATTGGAAATACATAAATCCTGGACTGTTGGTGGGCCACGAGAAACCACTGCTCTGGGGAGTATTCACAACTTGGGCTATATCTTTTTATATTCCATCCTTTATTGGTGCTTCTTCGGAGCTCTTTATCCTGGACTCTTTATCCTGATGCTATTTGTTTATATATGTTATTTGGCAAACTGTGGAATCTTCTAGGAAAAGGTGTATTTGAGATCTTGTGATGCTTAACATGCACACAAATGGACTTTACAACTAATAATGTGACGTGTGTGGGCCATTATTTGCACCAGAGGTATCATTACAACAGGTGTGAATACTTAGGTGGCCAGTAATATATATATATACACACATATACTGATCAGCCACAGCATTAAAACCACCTGCTTAATATTGTGTAGGTCCCCTTCGTATCCAAAACTGCTCTGATGCGTCAAGGCATGGACTCCACAAGACCTCTGAACTTGTCCTATGGTATCTGGTCCAAGACATTAGCAGCAGATCTTTTAAGTCCTGCAAGTTGCGAGGTAGGACCTTCATGGATCAGATTTGTTGTTCCAGCGCATCCCACAAATGATCAAAAGGATTGAGATTTGTGGAATTTGGAAGCCAAGGCAACACATTCAGCTCTTTGTCATGTTACTCAAACCATTCCTTAACAATTTTGCAGTGTGGCAGGGTCCCAACCACATTTTATATACAGGTTACAAAATGAACACAAAATGATGATTAATAAAGCTAACTCACCCCTTTCCCCAAAAAACCCAACTAAAATAGGTTAATACATCTTGCTATAAATGAAGCATACAATGATTTATCATACTCTGTCATAACTAGACAACACAGTTGGTTCTTCCTGGGCATTTGGCCAAGCAAGGATGTAGGGGGTATACTTCTATCTATCTTTTCCAGGAATCACACCAGACAAGGACAACATAAAACTTTTAGAAAAATCAAATAAAAAAGAAGTAGGTTAGCAAAAATACAGATTGTCTGTGTGTTTACAAAAATCTCAAGAATTCTTGAAAAAACAAGGACAGGCAGCTTATAATATTGAACAAAAGTGCAGCCGGAAATAAGATGGTTCTATATTATAAGTTCCACCCTACTTCTAAAATGGAGTATCAGCTTTAAGGTGTCCGATTATTTTAGAGCTTCACCCAGATGGCATACCAATGGAACACTTGTATACAGCAATCTCATCTTCCAGTTAAGATGACAGTTATACCCACACTATAACATCCACACAGAATCTCATATTCTGAAAGCTTAGGAAAAAATGTAAGTCTGATCTTGCCTACATTTAT